TTCCAAATCTCTTGAAATAATCATGTAGCTTTAGATGTTTTTGTTTTGAATATGATTAATTATTCCGGTTGTTTTCCTAATGTTGAAACATCAAGCATTCCTGGCAAAATCCAACTTGGTCATGATGAATGATTTTTTGGACGAACTGCTGTAGTCTATGTGAAGAATTTTATTTAGAAATTTTGAACTGATATTGGTTAATGACATTGGTCTACAGTTCTTCTGTGTTTTATCCTTCCTTAATTTAGTTATTGGGAATATATTTATTTCATTAAAGGAGTCCTGTAGTGTGCTTTCTTTCTCAATTTCTGAAAAAAATTTGTTTAACATTGGTATTAACTGTTCTTTAAACATTTGACAGAAATCCACTAAAAAATTATGTTACATGACCTCACCTGGACCCTCATAGTAAGTAATTTTATTATATGCTGCCTATCCACAACTCACTATCTCACTCTCCACAGTGGCACTTCCAAACCTTTTCATCTCTCCTCAAACCTCCCATGGCTCTCCTTCACCCAGCACACTCTCACCTGAGAACTTAAAAATTGAGGCAATTTGCCATGAACTTTCTCTTCTCCTCTCTTCCTTATCGCCTATCACTCATATGCCTCCTCCCAATTTCTCCTCCTTCACCTCTGTTTCACATGATGAAATGATTCCTTATTCCTTAACAAGGCTAACCCTTCTACTTGTTCAAACGATCTCATTCTATCCTGTCTCTTCCAGCAGATTGCCTCTTCTTTCATCCCCACTTTTTCACTTTTCCATCTCTTACTGTCTACTGGCTCATTTTCTAGTGCCTACAAACATACCCATGTTTCCCCCATCTTGAAAAAATCCTCACTTGGTCCTTCCATGCTTGCTAATTATTGTCCTATTTCTCTTCTGCCCTTTGTATCTAAACTCCTTGAAAAGGACATCTATGATGGTTGCCTTCACTTTCTCTTCTCCCACTCTCAATTTTGGATTACTTCCACCACCTACTGCCTAATGAAGCTGGAGAAAAATCACAAAACCATGCTGACTAGATCCATTACAAATTTATGTAATGTAATATCACTTGACCCCTCACTGAAGCAAGGCAATCCTTTTATACCTGCCCCACTGTTTTATTTTCCCACTCACCACAGAGGCTTTCCCAAATCTTTTTATCTCTCCTCACACCTCTCATAGCTTCTTTTTCCATTCTCTGGCTGAGATTGCTGCCTCTTATTTTATTGAAAATAATTGAGACCATTGTCAAGAACTTCCCATTCTCCCCTTCTCCTCAACTCACAGATGCCTGTTGCTACTAACTTCTCCTTTTCCTATCTCACATAAAGATGTCACCATTCTCCTTGCCAAAGCAAGCCCCACTATATGTATAAGTGATTCCATTCCATCTCACCTTCTACAAGAGTCTACCCTCTCTATCATCCCTGCCCTCTCCTTATCTTCAATCTCTCCCTGTCTGGCTATTTCCCTAATGTCTACAAACACACCCACTTCTCCCTCACCCTTAAAAACCCCTCACTTGATCCATCCAGCCCTGCTAAACATCATCCTATATCTTTCCTCTTTTTTGTGGCTAAACTTTGCGGCCAGATTTGAACTCAAGTCTTCCTGGCTACAGGTTTGGCACTTTATCCACTGTGCCACCTAGCTACTCACCTGACTCCTACTTGACTGACAAAATAAAGGTCATCTACCATGAGCTCCTTCTTTTTCCCATGCCACAATTCAAAATCTCTTACTATTACCCTCTCTCTTCCCCCGCCCTTGCCATTGCTCTATCCTAGGGAAAAGTTGGTCTTTTCCTTGCCAAGGCCAATCCCCCTACATATGCACATCATTTTATAGTTCCTCCTGTCTCACCTGGGAACCTGTCAAACAGAACATTCCTCTCATTCCTCCTTTCTCTCATCCTTAATCTTATTGCCTACAACCATCTAAGTTTCCTCTATCCTTAAAAAAAAATCCAATTGACTCTAGAATCCCCTCAAGCTATTCTCATACCTTTTCTCTGTTGTTCAGTTGCTTAGTGGTGTTTGGCTCTTCATGACCCCATAGACCATAATGTCCATGGAGTTTTCTCAGCAAAGATACTGGAATGGTTTGTTGTTTCCTTCTCCAGTGGATTAAGGCAAATAGAGGTTAAGTGACTTGCCCAGGGTCACATAGCTAGTGTCTGAGGCCAGATTAGAACCCTGACTATAGGCCCAGAGTTCTACCCACTGAGCCATCTAGCTGCTTCTCTATTTTAATCTAAACTCCTAAAAAGAGTTGTCTGTGCTGGTTGCCTCTATTTCCCTACTTCATACTCACGTTTCTACTCCTGGCAATCTTGCTTCTGATCATACATACCACTCTACTGAAACTGCTTTCTCTAGCTGAACCAATGATTTCTTCAGTAATAAATTCTAGTGGCCTTCTCTCTGTCCTCACCCTACTTGACCTCTTTGTAGCTTTTGGCAATGTTGACCACTCCTTCTTCCAGGATACTCTTTCTTCCCCTGGCCTCTAGGACATGACATTAAAGAGGCATCTGCTTTACCAGCACCATAAGGACCACAGGATGTTTCTATCTGATTTGCAGCTAGAACTTTCTATATGTGTGTCTCCCCCACTAGAATGTGAGATCCTTGAGAGCAGGGGCTGTCTTACTTTTCTGTTTGTATCCTCAATGCTTAGCACAGTGCTTTGCATATAGTAAATGCTTCATTCATTGGTTTTCCTTTCTGTCTGAATGCTCTTTCTTATTCTCTTTTTTAGGATCATCATCCATTTCCAATCCACTAAATATGTGTGACCTCTAGACTCTTTCTTAAGCCTTCTTCTTCATTCTCTTGGTGGTACAAGCAGTTTCCAGGAGTTCAGTTATGATTTCTATATAGATGATTCCTTACGTCTATTGAGGACAACATTATCCTTCCAGTTATTTAGGTTCTTAATGTTAGTTATTTGGGCTCTCCTTTCTCCCTTACCCTTGATACCCAGTCACTTGCTAAGTTTTGTTGATTCTGTTTCTACATCTCTCTGACTTCTCTTTCGCTCATACAACTAGCACCTAGGTCAGGCCCTCATCACCTCTTGCCTAGATGGTTATAAGCCTAATAAACATCAAATCTCTCTTTTCTCTAACTCATTCTCCACACTGCTACCAAATTATCATTTCTTTCTGTTTTTTTAAGGCAATTGGGATTAAGTGACTTGCCCAGAGTCACATAGCTAGTGAGTGTTATGTGTCGGAGGCTGAATTTGAACTCAGGTCCTCCTGAATCCAGGGCCAGTGCTTTATCCACTGTGCCACCTAGCTGCCCCCAAATTAATATTTCTTTAAAAATGACTTTAACTATGTCACTCCTCTGCTTAAGAAACTTACTGATCTCTGACTGTTCTGGATATTTGATGTTCCACTCCTTTACACACTCTATTTCCTAATCACACTGGCCCACTAGCTGTCTCCTGAATGGAATATTCCATCTCTTTTCTTTTCACATCCTGTCTGTCGTTTATGTCTGGAATATGCTCCCTTCTTACCACTGCCTCCTAGGAATTAGAGGTCCCTTAAAAAGATTCAACTTTGCTGCCATGTACCACATAAAACCATTTGTTACTATGCTTCCCTCCTGCCCACAAATAAATATTATTTTATTTTGTAGTCTCCCCCGTGGAATTAAATTCATTGAGGGAAAAGGTTGTTTCATTTTTGTCTTATTTTCTTCAGCAATTGGTATAGTCCATGCACATAAGAAGAACTTAATATGTGTTTGTTAAATTGAACTTACTTGATTTGGGAAATGGCAGAGCTTTTATGATGGACAGAAAGTACCTTCGTTGGCTGAAGTGCATGAAAGAGAGTAATATATTGTAAGAGAAAGGTGAAAAGGTAGCATGGTGTCAGGTTGTGATATGTAACTGTAGACAAAAAGTGGGTAAGTGACAATTCATCATTTTAATGAATGGCATCCTACCTATTCTGCCTTGGTGTATAGGCAGTCTTTGAGCTAACATGAAACAGTAAACATTTATTAAGTGCTTATTTTGTGCCAGGTGCTATGTTAAGCTCTAGAAACTAAAGGAAAAAGTAAAAACAGTACCTGACCTCAAAGACCTTATATTCTAACGAGAGATATAGCATAAACATAAATTGGTCCACAAAAAATAGAGAGGAGATAGGAGATACAAAGATATTTTAAGTTGAAATGATGTAAGTTGAATCGTACTCCCACAGAAGCAATAGTATGACTATGGGTTATCTGTCTGACAAAGGGTTGATGCCCAACATGTTACAGAAATTATCACTAACACCATATGATACTAACTACAAATGATATCGTATCTAGTATAGAGCTTTCTAAAGAATAGAAAAATCAGTAAAGACAATACAGAAACCAATCACAATATAAAGTTACTATGAAAATTATCATAGAAAGGCAGTGTCTTATAGTCAATAGAAGGACAATCTTGAAGAAAGAATTGGGTTTAACTTCTGCATCTGACACAATAGACACACTGCATCTGACATACTATGTGACCATTGGCAATTATTCATTTATCTCTAGGGTCCCCCCCACAACTTTGCTTTGTGGCCGGAAGGTTCCATGTTGAGAATTCCCTACATTGATGAAATGAGAAGTTCAGATCTAATATGATATATACTGTGTCATATACAAAGTTTCCTATAACTTCATATTTTTACTTCAGCAAATCAGAAGGTATAAGAATGAAGGGCCATTCCAATTTAGAGAGCCTTTTTAGAGAGTTTTTGATGGTCATCTTTGATGAAACTTTTTATGAGGTTTAGGGTTAGGTACCAGTAACCTGAACCCAAGGAAGGTACTCACTATGAGATTCACATGCTGCAGTGGTAGCTGTGATGGTGAATGAATATCCATTGAAAAGCCATACATTAGGAGTTAAATTGTGATTGAACAACAAAATCTACACTCCAACCCCACTTATTTTGTGTGCAACCTTGAGGAAAGTTCAGAAGTTTGTGTAAAATTGCAACATACCTGATTCTTGGCCAGTAGAAAGCATTATACATTGTAAGGGAGATTGTATTACATTTTTAGAAAACTGTAAATCCCAGTGAGCTGATACACAGTAATTCGAATTTGGAATCAGAGAGTCAATTATTGTAGTTACGTTTTCTCTGTCATCCATTTCAACTGTTAGATCCTGAAATGAAAACCAATATTTACCTTTAAAATAGGTTTATTATGAACATAATATGGAATACAATATAGTTAATTAAATTTGCTTTGCATGTACTTTATATTAAATAACAATTTCAATGCATAAAATGTCATAACAATTTTTCTGTAATTCCCTCTAAGTTTCCATCAGGACTTTTATCCCATTTATTCACATTTTTCATTTTATATGGTCATTATATATATTTCCTCTGCTTTTTAAAAAAACTTAATATTATTTCTTATATTTCTCATGCCTGCTGAGGTTAATTCATTATAGTATTACATAACATTAATGTCACACAATTTATTTAAGCATTCCCCTATTTTTTGGATAATTAGGTTGCTTCTATTTTTTCCAACTACAAATAATGCTGCTCTGAGAATCTTTGAAAAAGGAACTCTTTCAAAAATAACTTTCAAGGTATATTTCCAACAATTTCATTGTTGGGATAAAGATTACTAACATTTTTGTAACTTTCACTGAATATTGCCAGATTGATTTCTAAAAGATTGTAATTCAAGGTTTGCAATTCCACCAGCAATGAATGACCATACCATTTTTCTACACAACTTCACTAACTCTGAGTTGTTTTTAATTATTTTTGCAAGTTTGATAGGGGTAAGATATGTTAAAGTTATTTTAATTTAAATCACCTTGATTATTAGTGAAGTTGGATGTTTTTCAAGAGACTTAAATATATGACTTTTCTCTTTTGAAAAGTCTATTCAAGTCAAATCAACAAATATTTACTGTGTCTACTCCATGTTAGGCATATGGCTAGCTTAGAATTTATGTGGCAAAGTATACTTTACATATTTTACCTCATTTGATCCTCACAACAACCTTATGAAGTAGATGCTATTATTCCTGTTTTACAGATGAGGAAACTAAGGTGAAGAGAGTTAAAAGTTATTTGCCCAAGGTCACACAGTTATAGTAATTATCTTAGACAAGATTCAAACTAAAGACTTCCTGATTTTGAGTCTAGCACTTTATACCCTTTGCAACCTAACTGTTCTTCATCTATAAAATGGAGATAATAATAGCACCAACCTCCCAGGGTTGTTGTGAGGATCAAATGAGATAATACATGTATATTGCTTTGCAAATCTTAACTCTCAATATAAATGCTAGCTATTGCTATGATTATTGTAATTTTTATTGTTGTTGCTATCCCGGATAGATCTTTACACATTTTAAGAGTTCCTTATATATGTTAGATGCCAAATTTTTATGTTATTAGATGCCTGTGATCTCTATTCTATTTCACTTATTTATTTATCTGGTTCTCCCCCTCCCCGCCAGTTTTGATGGTAGCAGTTTTGCAATATGTTTTAAAGTCCAGGAGTGCAAAAGTAGAATTTTTTTTTTATCATGACCTTTGTTCACTTTTTTGTCATACAAATTTCACTTTGATTTTATCTAGTTCTATGAAGAAATCCTTTTTTTCAAAAATTAGTATTTTATTATATAGGCAAATTAATTTGGGGAGTATTGTCATTTTATAATATTAATTTTATACAGAAGAGTCAGTTGAACATAGTGGTTAGAAAAGCGAGCTTTAGAGTCAGGAAGACAGAGATTCAAGTGCCACCTGTCACATGCTGGCTGTGTGATGTGGATTAATCTTTCAAAGCCTCACTCTCTAGACTTGCAAGACTGTAACTTGCAAAAGAGTTGACAATTTGCAATGGTTAGAGGAAGTTTCCTCTCTGTGAACAATGACATCCAATATCTAGAAAAAAAAAAGAATCCTATCCATCTCAGAACATATACTATGTCACCAGTTATTTAGGTGTTTAATTATTTAGGTCAGTCATTACAGTTTTATAATTGTCCTTATATAGATTATGTATATTTTTAGGGAGATCACCAAATATTTGATGACTTTTGTTATTTGGAATAGGATTTCCTTTTTAGCTGCATTTTCTTAATCTTTATTGCTAGTAATTTAAAATGTGGATGATTTTGGTGGGTTAATTTTATATCCAATTAACTTGTTAAACCATTTGTCTTCATTAATGTTTGATTGAAATAGCTGTATTTTTTAGACATACTATCATGTTATCTGCAAAAGTGGCATTGTGACCTCTTCATATGTAGTGTTAATCTCTCTGATAGGCAGTTAGGTGGCACAGTGCTTATGCTGGAGTCAGGAAGACATGAATTTGAATCTGACTCTGACTTACTAGTTGCGTGACACTGACCAAGTCACTTTACTTCTCAGTATCAGTTTCCTCATCTGTAAATTACGGATAATAATGGCACTTACCTCACAGGTTATTATAAGGATGTAATTAAATGAGATAATATATATAAAGTGCTATATATATATATGTATATATATAAACCTTAAAGCACTATATGTTCCATATATATATTTATGTAAGTAATATATATTAATATTGTTATCATTTCTAGAATTTCCATTATTTCTTCAATTCAAATTGGTCAAAATGAGTAGCCTCATTTCATTTTAGTGAAATTATTTTGCTACTAAATATTAAATTGATTCATTGCTTAAGGAAATTTTAATTGTGCTGAGGAAAAATCCTTCTATTTATATTCTTTTAGAGAATTTAATAATTAATTCATGTTTCATTTTATCAAATGCTATTTCTACAGTCATTGAGGTAGCCATATGGCTATTTGGAAAAAAAAAAGTTCTTTTGTTTATATGTAGTATTAGATTGATAGTTTTACTGATACTGAGCCAGCCTTGCAAACCTGACAGAAACCCTGCTTGGTCATGGTGAATAATTTTAAAATGTTAGCTGTTAATTTGTTTAGTATTTTAGGAAACAGCCTATGCTTTTCTTTTTCAGTGTTATCCTTGTCAAGTTTTATTCTTCAATAGTATTTTATTTTTTCCAGTTACATGTAAAGACAATTTTCAACATTCATTTTTTGGAAAGGTTTTGAGTTCCAAATTTTTCTCCCACCTTCCCCTCTTGACTCTCCTCCCCAAAACAACAAGCAACCTGATATAGGTTATACATGTACAATCATACAAAACATTTCCACATTAGTTATATTATGAAAGAAGAAATAAAACAAAAGTTAAAACACATACACACACGCACACAGCCTTCCCCTCCCCCCAAGGTAAAAACAGAATGCTTTGATGTGTATTCAGACTCCATCAGTTCTTTCTCTGGATGTGGATAACATTTTCCATCATGAGTCTTGGCATTGTCTTGGATCACTGTATTGCTGAGAAGAACTAAGTCGATCATAGTTGATCATTGCATGGTGTTCCTGTTATTGTGTTCTGCTCTCCTGATTCTGCTCATTTCACTAGTTCATGTAAGTCTTTCTAGGTTTTTCTGAAATTTGCCTGCTTATCATTTCTTATAGTATAATAGTATTCCATTACATTCATATACCACAACTTATTCATCCATTCCCCGATGGATGGGTATGCCCTCAATTTCCAATTCTTTGCCACCACAAAAAGGTGTTACAATTATTTTTGTATGCATGGGTCCTTTTTTATGATCTCTTTGGGACACAGGCCTAGTAGTGGTATTGCTGGATAAAAGTGTATGCACAATTTTATAGTCCTTTGGGCATAGTTCCAAATTGCTCTCCAGAATGGTTGGATCACTTCACAACTCCAACAACAATGCATTAGTGTCCCAATTTTCCCACATCTTCTCCAACGTTTATCATTTTCTTGTTTTGTCATATTAGCCAATCTAATAGGTATAAAGTGGTACCTCAGAATTGCTTTAATTTGCAATTCTCTAGTCAATACTGATTCAGAGCATGAGCATATATATATATATATATATATACATACTTAGATATCTATAATCATTCTCATATATAGACATAGATATTCATATTTATCAGTGTAAGAGCATACTATACTTGTTTGTTCTCTGTTTCTCTGAGGATGGATAACATCTTCCTTCATAAGTAAGTCCAAATCTTTCCATATTTTTTCTAAGTCTACCAATTCATCATTTTCTAAACCACAGCAATATTCCAACCTTATACTGCCTAGTTATTTTAAACAGTCTAAAACAATATTGATTAATGTAACTGAAAAACAGTGTAGCTTTACTGTTTTTCTCTTTTATTAAAATCTAATTTTGATTTAACTTTGTCTGATTTTTTCTTTTTGAGGAAAATTTAGCAACATACAAAAAGATTTCTGTTATTTATAACCCTCTGGTTTTAGAATGTCAGGGCAGTTTTCCTTGAAATTTCTTGAAAGATGCTGTCCAGTTTCTTTTTTTTTGATCATGGTTTTCAGGTAGACCAATAATTCTTAAATTATCTCTCCTGGGTCTATTTTCCATGTCAGTTGTTTTTCCAATGAGGCATTTTATATTTTCTTCTATTCTTACATTCTTATGATTTTGCTTGATTGGCCCCCTTAAAATTTTTATTTACTTATTTATTTATTTGCTTGCTTGTTCATTCATTCATTCATTCATTCATTCATTCATTCATCATTTTAATTGATTCTTGATTTCTCATAAAGTCATTAGCTTCCATGTGCTCAATTCTAATTTTTAAGGAATTATTTTCTTCAGTTAGCTTTTTTACCTCCTTTTCCATTTGGCCAATTCTACTTTTTAAGGTGTTTTATTTTTCTAAGCTGTTGACTCCTTTTTCATGATTCTCTTGCATCACTCTCATTTCTTTTCCCAATTTTTCTTCTACCTTTCTTATTTGATTTTTAAAGTTCTTTTTGAGCTCTTCCAAGAGGACTTTCTGGACTTGAGACCAACTCATATTCCTCTATGAAGTGTCACATGTAGGCATTTTGAGATTGTTGTCCTCTTCTGAATTTGTTTTTTGATCTTCCCTGTCACCATAGTAGCTTTCTATGATCAGGACTCTTTTTTTTTAAAATTCTTATTTTCTAGCCTATTTTGTGACTTAAAGTTCAGCTCTGCTCTTGGGGTACTGGGGGCACTGTCCCAAGCTTCTTGCACTGCAGGCTGGGGGCCTGGTCATTGGCTTTCTGTGCTGGGGCCTCCAGGACTGGTGGCTTGCCCAGTGCTCTGAGGCAGCCAGGCCTAGCTGTGCCAGGGGTTCTGGGGCTGTCAGTTTGCTTCCTGTGCTGGGACTAGAGGCCTTACAGCTGTCCTGATGTGCTGCTGGCCTGCTGAGCCAGGACCACAGGGCCTTGGTTGCTGATTTGAGCTACAGCTAAGAGCCTCCCTCTGGCTTGCCTGGACACCTCCTGTGCTGGGTTGCACTCTCCTTTTACCCAAGTGAGACAGACCTTTCCTGAAGTCCTTCTAAGCTATCTTGGACTGGAAAATTGTTTCACTCCCTCTTTTTGTGGGTTCTGTCACCGCAGAATTTGTTTAGAGGCTTAATTTAATGTTGTTTCAAGGGAAACTGGGGAGAGGCAATTTCTTGGCTTTTCTCTGCCATCTTGGCTACACTGATTCTTCGTCAAGTTTTAAATTCAACATGGTATGATTAAGGGCAATCAACGAAGTGCTTGGAGAAAAGGGCTACAGGAGGGAAAGGATGTGTTCTGAACTGGGATCAGAGAATGCATGTACCAGGGGTAGTGTTTGGTTAAGAATTCACTGACATACTAATTCAAAGCATGAAGTCCAATATTCTTTCCACTGCGTCATGTTGCTTCTCTATGGCAGAAGTACATTCTGCTATGCAAAACAAAACAAAACAAAAAACCAAAAACAACAACAACAACAACAAATTGTGTCTATTGTGGTTGGATTAAGTTCTTTAAATGACATATTCAGAGAAAAAAGTAATTTCTTCCTTTGCTAGGATCAGAAACTGCTATTAGATTAATACTCTGTACTCAGCTGATGCTGGACTCCTCTTTCCCATTGGTTTGAGTGAAATGAGACTTCTTTAAGGGCAGCTAGGAGGCACAGTGGATAGAGTGCTGGGCCTGGAGTCAGGAAGCCCTTTCTTGCTGACTTAAAATAAGCCTCAGACACTTATAGCTATGTGACTGTGGGCAAGTCACTTAACCCTATTTGCCTCACTTTTGTCATCTGTAAAATGAGCTGGAGAAGGAAATGGCAAACCACTCCAGTATCTTTGCCAAGAAACCTCTAAAAGGGGTCATGTAGAGTCAGACACAACTGAAAAATGACCAAACAACAACAAAGATTACTTTATATATTTGTCCACCCTTCAATTTGAATATCAAGGGTTTTTGTTTTGTTTTTTAGCCTCTTTTCCTTCTGATTTTCTTCTCTTTCTGATAAAGCTAAGCAAAGTCAACCTTTCAGCTTCAGTGTCCTCATCTATAAAATGAGGATAATAATCTCACATGGTTGTTGTGAAGACAAAATCAGTTAAGGTTTTTTGTATAAAGTTATTTTGTAAAATAAAGGTACTATACAAATTTGAGTTTTTTTTAACATAGGAAACATGAAGAGGCCTGTAAAGTATAACTTTTAAATTATTTTTACATAATTCAGAGAAAAGCTCTAAAACTGGAAGGATACTCACACTTCATTTGTTAGGTTGGGCAAATATAGTAAAAACATAATCACTTTTCAAACTGACTTAAAGAATTAATGCAATATAAATTAATTATTTTTTAGAACTTTTTTTTGGTCTGAACTTGTATTTTCAAAAACATGAGGAGTTTCAGGTATAGAAATTCCTTCAGTGAAGCAGACTGGGAGCTACTTTGTAATATAATCTTAGAGTTGCCTGGAGACACCAAGAATCTAAGACAAGATGTGAGCCCAGATCATCCTCATCATAACATTGGCTCTCCATTATGTGATGATGCTATTCTAAGTACCACTAAGTTATTTCATAGAATTGGGATCCATTAATCAAAAATGAAAAAATGAATCAATAATCTAAATTTTTTTTTAAATGGAAGAAAAAAGTAATAAATTCATCTCAACTATGGAAAGAAGAATCATCTCATTAATTGATCAAAGAAGAAATTACCAGAGACAAAAATGAGTTTGATTAAAAGAAGATAAAAGGATTCTGCACAACAAAACACAATATCATAAAATTTAAAGAAAAGAAGTAAGACTTTCAGGTAATATGACCAAAAAATGGAAGCCGTGATATTTTCTCTAATCCTCATAACCAAAGCCTCCCCAAAACAGGAATTATGCACAAAAGATAAGGCAACTGTATCTCTTTCTGTGTTTGAAGACATCAAGAACTCTTGCTGAACTAAAAACAGGGAAAGCTCATCTTTAATTCCTAAAGTACTTCCTACGTACCCCATCTCCCAATGGCCACCACAATCTGGCAAGGCTGAACAAGCCAAATAATGGGCTTGAAACAGAACTCCGCCACTTTACTGCCTAATACAAGAAAACTCAGTTAAAGACCTTGAGCACTTACCAATAAACCAACAGGAAAGATTAATTCTGTCATATTAATGACAGAAGGGAAGAGGGACTCCAGGGCATATGAATTCAAACACCACTTAATAAATAATGCAAGACCAAAGGAAACTGAATGACTACTGATGAGACTGAGGCCACTGGATTCCCAAAACAGCAGGGAATCACAACAGAATGTTCCTTAATGGTTTTAAGAAAGAAATAAGAATTGTGAGCGCAGAATTTGTGACCTGAACATCAGAAAAATCAGCAGATGAGTCCACAGAAGCAAGTCTCATTGAAGAAATAAAAAAGCAAATAACTGATTGGGAATGCAAATTAACATGAGTGAAAGAAAGTGGAAGAAGAGGAAACTCATACAAGAAACTATGTTCTCTACACAAACAAAACATGTTGATTTGAAGTTGGGAAGTGCTTTAAGGATTACAGGCCTTCCTGAAAAACACAACAATTCAAAAAATCCAAAAACTAGAATGCAAGAAATAATACTCTGAAAACTGCCCAGAACTTCTGAACACAGAAAACAAAGTGTTCATCAAGAGAATCCACAGATTGAGTCTAGGAAAAAAATGACTATGCTGCAAATTACAAAACACATAGCTGTTATATTCAACAATGCCAATGACAAAGAACAAATTCTACAACCAACAAGGAGAAAGACCTTAAAATATAAAGGAAACAACATCTACATGACACAAGACTATTCTGTACCAACTAGAAGTACGGCACGAAATGGTATTGCATGCTCTGAAGGTCAAGGGAGCTCAAGATGCAACCAAAAATGAACTCTGAAAACCAGAGCTTAATCATCAGTGAAAAAGATGGCTATTTCATAAAAAAGAAGCATTTGAAGGATTTCTACAAAGAAAACTTGACATTTTGGTTTGTAAACACCCCAGACAACAGAATAAATACAAGACAGGTTAAAAAAATACAGCAACAAGTCTGGCAAAGGTAATGAAAGAAATTGCTGCCCTTCAACCTGCCCTCCCTCCCCCACCAAAAAAAAAGAAAGAAAGAAAAGAAATTCTAGAAAGTGAAAGACTCTTATGGGGTCTTTCTATGTTATCTATCTATCATCTTCATTGGTAATACCATAATGAAAGACTATTGAAAGATTCCTTTCTGATAGTACACAGACAGATAAGCACTTTATTCTGGAAAAGTCAATTTCTTTTTCTCAGATATATTTGCTCTTTTAGGTTTCTCTTGACTGAATTTCAAAATTTCTACTAAGGACTGGTCTTTTCATAAAGAATCCTTGAAGATCCTCTATTCCAATAAAGGTCCATGTCCCTTTTCCCTGTTATGATTATACTCAATTTTCCAGGGTAAATTTTTTTTTATAAGTCTTTAACTTTTGGGTTTTTTTTGAATATTGCATTCCAAGATCTCTTTTCCTTTAAGAAGTAGTTGCCAATTCTTGTGTGAGTTGCATTATGGTTCCTTGATATTTGAAATTTTTTTTCTTTCTGGTTGCTTGCTGTATTTGTTTTCTTTGACCTAGAAGTTCTAGATTTTGGCTATGACATTCCTGAAAGTTTTTATTTGGCGATTTCTTTCAGGAAGTTAACAGTGGATTCTATTTTCACTTTTTTCTGTGGTTTGAATAACTCTGGGCAATTTTCATTTATGATTTCTTAAAATATGTAATCCAATATTACTTTGGGGGAAGCTGACATATTCAAGAGAGGTTATGAAGGAGAAAATATAAGATCTGGCAACTGTATGTAGGATAAGTGAGAGTGTGGAATTAAAGATGACAGTTTGTGAAGCTTGGTGACTAAAAGGATGGAGATGATTTGACTGGAAGAGGAAAGTTTTTAAAAGTGATGTCAAATGCCAATGTCAAGTACTGCTGAATAGTATATTAAGAAGAGGCTCATCCCTTCCAAATTAAGGCCACTTTGAGTGATATGGTCAACTTGCACTTTAGGAAAATCACTTTGGTGGTTGAATGGAGGATGGTTTTAAATGAGGAGAGACTTGAGGCAAACCCACTAGCAGGCTGTTTCAATAGTTTTTAGTTTAAGCTGTACACTTTGAACTAATATATTTTTTAAACAAGTTAAACATAATACATTACAAGACTCTTACTGCTGTAATCATAATATTAGAATCCACTCACCTTGCTTAGTGTGTTACTTGACTGCACTTTAATGACTACTGATGAAAAAAGTTCTTTTTCCTCATTCCTTATCTTAGATAAGGATGCTGGATGATGCACAGTGACATTGATTGCATCTTTAAAACCTAAAATACTAACTTCTGGTGGATCTAAAATTGCTGTTTAGAGAAAAAAACCACATGAAATAGTCAATAATTAATAATCTTCTAAAGACCAACAATAATAATACTTGCTTCACAAAGAAATTTTCCTCAAAGAATCTCAGCGCTTTGCAGATATTTTCTTTTTGATCTGCCCAAGACCCCAGTTGAGAAAACAATCATTCTATTTTACTGGTAGGAAACACAAAGGATATAAAGACTCTGTAAATTCCCCAAAATAATAAAGTGAGTAATGAGAGCACTAAGAACAGAATCCAATTAAGTGTCCTAAATTCTAGTCTACTACATTAACTAAATATAATCAGATCAAATTCATTTCTACCAATTTTTTATATGCCTTTCATTATTTTTCATTGCAAGGAATCTCAAGGTCTTCCAAATTATTTACTTATGCGGAATTTTGTTATCATGAAAAGTTAACAATATTCTCAGACTAGAAGTTGACAACTACCTATTTTACTGAAATAGCTAGAAGCACTATAGTAGACAGGATAGGGTGGATCAGCAATCCCTTTCGCACAGAGTGCTTCCAGGACTAAGCTAGGTACATCTGGTGTTGCTAATATGTCTAAAGCATAGGGATAGTGAAAATATCGGGTATGTAAGTGGAAGTACATGATGGGGAGTGGTAGAGTGACATTATAGCTGCTTCAGGTACCATTTAATGGCAGTTACTACATGTTCCCTATCCCTTTGGGAAAGAAAGTGGTATTATTCATATACTGATACAATCCCTTTCCTTCTTAAATTTTTTAGATAATATGCTTACACACAATCACATGTAAATGTGTATGTAAGAGTGCTGTTGTGTTGTGAGTTGGGAAATGAAAGAAATTAGAAGTGCTGAAAAGAGATAAAAATGCCAGACCAATGAATAGTTTAGCTATCTCTCAAGTCAATTCTATTTTATATCACCCCTAGTGTTGTAGAAGAGCAAACAAAATCAATAAAAATCAACTTACTATCTGTTATGGGAAAGAAACTGTCCATACATTCAACTAATTTTTCCTTTCCATTGAAGCCTGTTACATTGGTAAAGTAGGTTTCATTGATTTCATAAATATCTGTCATGTTACATGATGATTTTATGATATTTGTGCAACTTTCAACAGTCTTCCATTCTTCATCAGCACTGTGTTCAAGGGAAAAGAGATAGGTAACAATCAATTTAAAGCTTCTGTAAAGAGAATCACAAACTAAGCCAATACCTCAAGTTTTAAATACAAAAGGAAGGAGATTCCTCTTCCCTACCAAGCACAGAGAAAAAAAAGCCATTATATTTGCAATTAAGCGATCATTAGTAACTTTGAGGATAGTAATTTCAGCAGGATGATAACTAGTGAAATGGTATGATCTAGTGAATGTTTTGGAAGATTAGGTGATAAGTGTATTTGGTTGCAACAGGAGTAGAGTCAGTACATAGGGAAAAATTAGAGGAGAGGATAAACTTCTAAAGAAGATTGAAAGCAGCTAGAGTCAAGGGTATACATAGAGGGTTGGTCTTGGTGAGGAGAAAGGTTACCTCCTTATAAGAGATAGAGTAGAGGAGGAAATGGTGCGGGAATATGTCCATGTAATGACTTATTTACAATAGCATACTATATGGTTACATTGAGTCATCAAAATTTCAATGCAGGAACCCTCCACCCCAATTTTACAATGAATTATTAAATGTAAGATACAGCATTTAAAAAAAATTATATATTTTTAAATGACACAAATTTTTTTTTAAAAAGTTAAAGGTTTAAAAAAGGTAGATTTCCAGATTTTTTTTTAAGGGAGCAATAGGCCAAATAAGTTTGGGAACCTCTGAATGAAAGGATGGATATGTTGGAGATTCTCGTTCAGGTATGATTTGAACTAGATATCCTTTAGTTCCTTCCAACCCTGAGATTCTATAATTTTGTGAAATAAGAGACTCTGGGATAATCAGTTGAGTCCTAGTCTTGTGACACATAAGAATTCCCCCCGCCCCAAAACAGTAGACTAGTTTAACATACTAAACTAAGGAAACAGACCAAAATGACTAAAACTGAAAACTATTATTTTGACTTGTTAAAAAATTTGGGCCAGCTTCTTTGGGTATGAAAATATATTTGGTTAATCTATGAGTGTGGCTTGTTATCTAAGTGCACTTGGCAAATCTGTGGGTTTGGTTACTCTAAATGCATTGGTCAATTAAGGGTTTTGACTTGTTTTGTAAAAATGATTATTTTTCCTTTGGCTCCCCCCATTTCTACATTTCAAGAATCTTGGCTTAAAAAGGAAGAGAAAAGCCAACAAACATATTTTAATGTTTAGGTCCGTCACAACTGGATTTCCCCCAATAGTATTCTCACCCAAATAGAAAAAGAGAATCAGTTATCAAAGTACAAATTGTAAAACTGACCTTATAACTGTGTAAGACACAGTATAGTGAGTTGGTATAGTGGCACTGCTGTTTAATTCCCAAGATAAAATGTGCTGAAAATTACGAGATGTCATCGTTAAAATGCAAGACTGCAAGGGCATTTCTAAGGAAAGAAAAAAAAATTAATCACAACACTTAGTAATATTGAAACAAGGTGAAAAAAAGTCTTATGTTCAATTGTTTCTTAATCTATTCACTAGTAACCTACGGTTAATTAGCACACAAAGACCTGGGAGAAATGATTATTAACAACCAATGATTTCGGGAGATCAAAGTTCCCCCTTTTTTATAGTCCTCATTTCAAAGTTTGTTCTCTTGAAGGACATTACTGATAATGAGATTGAATTAACTCTCCTCCACTCAACCTTACAAGCTCATCGTGCTCTACTAAGGTCTGGGTGGGGATAAATTCTTTGATTAGATTGCCCAAAGGGGGGTGTTATTTAGAAGTAAATGACATAATCAATGTTCATTAGAGTAGGTCAAGCCCCCCATTGCAACATTCATTCTCTCTCATTATTTGTTAACCAATCAGAATTGATTGCTACTCTCAGGAACACCTGCTTTTCCAAGGGCATATAAGCAGTGATCTTGCCACCATAACTATCTTTGATATTAGAGAGTTCCACTGATCTCTTCTATTAAAATGTATTATTAATAAAATGATTAGTTATCCAGAATTTATCTCTCTCAAACTTTTTGAACGCCATAGACCAATTTAAGTCATAACCTATCAAACACTAGTTCAGGTAAAAAGTTTCTCCATAAGGTCCTGAGGATCTTGGAAAAATGAAGAAGAAAGAGCTGTATTTCATGTCTAATTTCAAGTGAATCTTCACTGAAAGAAGATTCTTCAACTTTATCCTTACAGTATTGCTGTTAATATATAAATTATTCTCCTGGTTCTCCTTACTTCACTTTGTTTCAGCTCATACAAGTATCCACAGCTTTTTCTGGAATTATCCCCTTCATCATTTCTTACCACAATAGTATTCAATCATCTTCATATACCAGAACTTGTTTAGCAATTCCCCAATTGATGGGTATTCCCTCAGTTTCCAATTCTTTACAAATACAAAAAGAAGCACTATATATACTTTTGTGGGCAGCTAGGTGGCACAGTGGATAGAGTGTAAGGCCTGGGGTCAGGAAGACCTGAGTTCAAATATGGCCTCAGATACTCATCGGCTATGTCTTCTGGGACATGTCACTGAACACTGTTTACTTTAGTTTCCTCATCTGTAAAATGATCTGGAGAAGGAAATGGCAAACCATTCCAAATATCTTTGCTGAGAAAACCCCAAAAAGGGGTCATAAAAAGTCAAACATTACTGAAAATGACTAAACAACAACAGACAATAAATATTTTTGTACATATAGGTCATTTTCCTCTTTATTTGATTTCTTTGGAGTACAGACCTAATAGTATATTGCTAGGTCAATGAGTATGCCTGGTTTTGTTGTTTTTTCAGCATAGTTCCAAACTGCTTTCCAGAATGATCTAGTTCAAAGCTCTACCAACAGTGTATTAACATACCTATTTTCCCACATCCCCTCCAACACAATTTGTCATTTTTCTTTTCTGTCATCTTAGCCAATCTAATAGTTGCGAGATGTTATTTTAGAGTCATTTTAATGTGCATATCTCTACTTATTAGCGATTTAGAGCACTTTTTAAAAATATGGCTATTGATAGCTTGGACTGAATATGGTTCAGATCCAATATCATTGGATCAGTTTAGGAATGGCCCTTATTTTTAATAATTTGACTCAGTTCCCTATACATCTTGGATATGAGATATTTATCACAGAAACTTGCAAAGTTTTTCTCACAATTTCCTGATTTTCTAATTTTAGCTATACCAATCTCCTTGCTAATATTTTATTTTAAAAATGTTGCATCAATATTCATGAGAAAAATTGGGCTATTGTTTTTTTTCTTTTTAGGCAATTGGGGTTAAATGATTTGCCCAGGGTCACTCAGCTAGTAAGTGTCAAGTGTTTGGTCTGAGGCCAGATCTGAACTCAGGTCCTCCTGACTTCAGGGCTGGTGCTCTATCCACTGTGCCACCTAGCTGCCCCTATAGTTTCTTTTCTCCATTTTGGCTGTCCTTGGTTTAAGGATCAAGTCCATATTTATGTGATATTTGGTAGGGCTCCTTCTTTGCCCATTTTTTTCAAATAATTTCTGCAGTATTGGAATTACTTGTTCTTTAAATGGTAGAATTTGCTTGTAAAGGCATCTGGTCCTGACTTTTTTCCTCTGAAAGAGTTCATTTATGGCCTGTTCAATTTCTTTTTTTTCCTCTAAGATAGGATTATTTAAGTATTCTATTTCCTGTTCTATTAATCTGGGCAATTTATATTTGTGTAAATATTCATCCATTTCATTTAGATCGTCAAATATACACACATACATTGTTGGAAAAAATAGCTCCTAATAAACATTTTTATTTCATGAACTTCATTGGTTGTGAATTAACACTTTTCATTTCTGATACTGGTGATTTGATTTTCTTCTTAATCAAATTAACTAATGGTTTATATATTTTATTGTTTTTTAAGTTCTTAGCTTTATTTATTAGTTAATAGTTTTTTAAACTTTCATTTTTTATTAATCTCTTCCTTGATTTTCAAGATTTCTATTTTGATGTCTATTTAATTTTTAAATTTGTTCTTTTTCTAGCTTTATTTTTAGTTGAATGTCCAATTTATTGATCTGCTTTCTCTCTTTTATTGATATAAATATTTAAGAGATATTAATTTTCCAGTGTTGTGAAGTTTAGTCCATGGTGGTTCAGGCCTGTTTCTTTACCATCTCTTCTTCTATTTTTCTTTTACTTTCACTCTTATCTCTTTTTGTAATTTTCATTTGTAATTTTAGAAAGAAATATCTTCATGGTCTTGCTTGTTCATTTATTGTTATTGTTCTTGGTTGTGTTATTTGATTACCTTTCTTGTATTTCTGTTGTCTTGGGTATTTGCAAAGCAAATAATTTATTTAGTTCTGGTTTTCTTCTATTTCCTCTTTTTTACTGAATGTACATCTGTTTTTCATTAATGGTTAGGCCCAATTTTGTATTGTGTGTCACCTTGGGTTGCACTGTGAGCTCCTTTGCTCTTTAGAAAGCATTTTTCCATTCCCCCTGCATTTTCTGGTACAGAATAATCTCACATTATTCCAATTCCTTTCCTTTATATTTGAGGGTCTTTCTACTTGGCTGCTTGTAAATTCTTTTGTCTTGCATTGGAATTGTTAAATTTAATCACTATGTATCTTAGAGTTTGCTGTATAGGTTTTTTTTTTAAGGCAGTCTGTGGGTTCCTTTGATGGATATTTTGTTTTCAATGTTCAGAAGTTCCAGGCAGTTTCTTTTTATAAATTAAATTTTCAATCAGCAAAAATTTACCTTCTCTCCCTCCCATTGCTCCTCCCCCAACTGAGAACTAAAGAGAAACAAAATTCCTACTACAAACACGTACTCAAAGAAGACAAACTATAGGCCACTTCCAAAATGAATACATACATATATATAAATATATATATATATAAAATATATATATTTTTAACTATATATAACTACATTGTGTGTATATGTGTGTGCATGTGTATATATACATACATACACACATACATATATACACATATATGCTGTGAAATTATTAATTGTGAAGTTTTTTTAATCACTGAAACCTATATCTATGGATTAGATTCGAATTTAATTGTGTAGGCCTTAGTAGTAGAGTTTCTAAGAGCCTAGGTACTCAGACCTTAATGGCTACAAGCTGGTCCTGTCTCTTGAGAGAGATAAGGAAGATGAGTGGTGGATGAGTCATCCTGGTCAGGAGATATTTTGCAACACTGGGTCTCTTTGATATTGAGTGCTAGCTATTTGGCATTGACCTTCCAGAGAGTGTTACTCAATTCTGTGTTTTCTCTATTTCTCTGGATTTTGGAGACCACTTTTTGCCAGTCAGTGTGCTGTATAGCCCACCCTTTGCCTTTCTTATAGATTAATCACAGTCTTAGTTTAGTTTGCATCACTTGACCTTATGTAACCACCAAACAGTATAAAAAGCTGCTCTGAGCTCTTTTTGTGGTGGCAAAGAATTGGAAATTGAAAGGATGCCCATCAATTGGGGAATGGTTGAGCAAGTTGTGGTGTATGAATGTAATGGAATACTATTGTGCTATAAGAAATGATGAACAGGCTGACTTCAGAAAAACCTGGAAAGACTTATATAGTCTGATGCTGAGTGAAGTGAGCAGAACCAAGAGGACTTTGTACACAATAACAGCCACATTATGCAATGACTGAACCCTTCTCAGCATTACGAGGATCTAAGACATCTCCAGAGGCCTCGGGATGGAAAATGCTGTCCACATCCAAAGAAAGAACTATGGAAGTCGAATTGCTATCACTTATTTTTACCTTCTGTTGAGTTTTGTTTCATCTTTCTGATGGTTCCTCCTATTGGTTTTAATTTTTATTTACAACTTCACTAATGTGAAAATATGTTTAATGGGTATTTAAATGTAAAACCTATATCAGATTGTGCGCTGTCTTGGGGAGGGTGGGGGGGAAGAAGGGGGAGAAAAATTTTCAACTCAAAAGCATATGGAAGTGATTGTTGATAAATCAAAATAAATTAATTAAAAAAATAGCTGCTCTGATTGTAAAGTGTGTGTTTGGTAACCAAGGGACCATTGACCTTTACTATTGGTAACTGCTAGTCTTGCTAATAAAAAAAATTTTGCTTGGACATAAAGGTGCTTCCACTTTTGTGTATATTTTTATTGCAACAATGCACAATACATATAGATATGTCTCATGCTGCATTCTGAGTCTTTCACGTTTTCTATCAAAAGATAGTATATTTTATCAGCTCTCTAGAATTTTGGTTAGTAATTATGCTAATCAGAGTTCCTAAGTATGTATCCGTACAACATTGTTATCAGTGTATAAATTGTTTCTGTTCAATTTACTCTCTATTAATTCATACAGGACTTCTCATACAGGATTCTGAAACCACTCTCTTCATAATTTCATTTTATCCCCAACATATATCATAAGTTTTTTAACCATTCCCAAACTACTGGGCACCCCTTCAGATTCACATTCTTTGCCACTTCAAAAAGAACTATAAATATTTTTGTACATCCTTTGAGTTTGTTTTGCTTAGGACTAATTCTGCCTTATTCTATCCTCCCTCTAATTTCCCCTTCTCTCCTTTCCCTCCTATTTCCTGTTGAGTGAAGCATATTTTTGTACCCAATTCTGTGTCTGTCTAATCTTCCCTTTTTTGAACATCTGAGATGAGAGTGAGGTGTAAGTCAAGTGTAAGTCACTCCTCCACCCCTTTCCTCCTCATTTGTATGGTCTTCTACTTGTGCATCATGTGAGACAATTTTACACAACTTTCCTTTCCCCTCTCTCCTCCCCCATCTAGAGTACCTCTTCCCTTGCCTTTTCATTCATCTTTTAAGATCATCAAGATATAATACTCCCATGCCTGAGACTCTCTTTATGATCCGTGATGATGATGATAAAGTTCCAAAGAGACACACGTATCATCTCCTCATATTAGAATGTAAATAGTTTATCCTTGTTTTGTCCCTTATGATTGTTCATTAAGTTTTTACCTTTTTATATTTTTCTTAACTTCTGTGTTTGAGCTTCAAAGTTTCTATCCAATTCTGGTCTTTTCATCAATAATGCTTCAAAGTCATCTATTTAATTAATAGTCTGTTACCCCATCCCACCATGACTGTACTCAGTTTTGCTGGATAAGGTATTCTTGGTTGTTAGCCTATATTCTTGGTCTTCTCAAATATATTCCCAGCTCTCCACTCCTTTAGAGTGGTGGCTATTGAATCATGTGTGATCCTGACTATGGCTCCTTGGTACTTGAATTTTTTTCTTTCTGTCTGCTTTCAGTACTTTTGATTTGACCTGGAAGCTCTGTATTTTGGTTATAACAATCCTAAGGGTTTTCATTTTGGGATTTCATTCAAGAGGTGATTGGTGGATTCTTTTTATTTCTACTCTGCCCTCTCATTCTAAGAGATCTGGGCAGTTTTAAGGTTTCTTGAAATATAATGTCTAGGCTCTTTGTTGGGTCATGGCCTTCTAGTGGTCCAATGATTCTTAAATTTTCTCTCCTCAATCTGTTTTCTAAGTCAGTTGTTTTTAATATGAGATACCTTATATTTTCTTTTATTTTTTTCCTGCCTTTTCATTTTGTCTTAATATTTCTGGTTGTCTTATGGAGCCAATAGCTTCTATTTGGTCCATGCTAATTTTTAGAGAGTTTGATGCTTGAGAAAGATTAGGTATTTATCTTTTGTTAATTCCTTGTTAATCTACCTGTCAATTCCCTTTCCAATTTTTTCTTCCACAGCTCTCATTTCTTTTCCAATTTTTCCCTTTAGTTCTTCATTTCATTTACAAAACCATTTGAAACTCTTTCTTCATCTTTCCCCAGAATCCTAGCTGAACTTGTGGCTGAGCTGTGGTTTCCTTTGAGGCTTTGATGTAAATAGTTCTCTTTGTCTGTGTTTGTTGGATGCCTTTGTCACCATAACAGTTTTTTTTTGTGGTGGAATTCTTTTTCTGCTTGCTCATTATTCCAACCTACTTCCTGACCTTGGTCTTGATGTTAAGATCAGGAACCGTGTATTTCTGCAGTGAAGGTCTGGAATGGTCCTGCTGCCACTTTTTTGGAGGGTACTGAGTGTTGCGTTATTCCAGGTCTCGGGGACAGCTAAGGCTGGAGACCAGAAAGCTTTTAGTGTTCACCAAGTGTTCTGATTCAGGCCAAATTCTGGTCACTGACCACTGTACCCCCCCCTTCCCCTGTTCTGAATTCTAATAAACTGTTGCCCAGTTTTATTACTGGAAATTGGAGCTTAAAACTATTCTACTATTCTTACTTTACTGAAGAGTCACTCCTAAATAGTCTAATTCCTATTCAAAGTTTATTGAAAGCACTTAAAAATTTCTTACCCAATGAGGTGTGTGATAATGTAAAGCAGATGGACTCTAGAAAAAAGAAGATAACATATTAGAATCACAACAAATATTTCTGTAAGTTAAATTTACAATCTGGTTGACTACTGTACATATGTAATTCCTCCTCGCATGTTAAAGAAATTTCAACTAAATGGCTCCCAGACAATCAACATGTGTAATCACAAGGAACAAAGTTTTATAATCTGAGTAAATTAAAGTGGAAATCAACAATGATAAAATAGATTTTTAAGCTGATGTATGTAACATTAGAATGAGAAACATACATCTGCACACACACATAATACATATCTAGCGGGGCAGGAAAATTCTCAAAACATGGTTTGTTAACTAATAAATAATAGATTTTATAGGTAAAGCAATTCACCAATAGAGTTAGAAGAGAGAAAAAAGTTGTTAACTATTAAGATGATGATGGTGTAAGAGATCACCTGGTGGTGCTGACAATGTAAGAACACAGGGAAAGATAATGAAAAAAGTAGAAGAAAAACCCAATAACCTCCTAGAAAACAGAAAGACAGACTATTCAGAAAAATTGGCTTGCTGGGAGGTAATCCAGCCCAGTCTATATTGGCAAGGTGTTTGACAGCTTTTTAAAGTAGATTTCATTTGCGTAGTCACACAACTGATGGAAAGGTGCAGACAATACAAAATCCAGATGCATTTATTGTTTGCTGATTATAAAAAGCATATAATTTGGCAGAGCAAAACATAGTCTTTAAAGGCTGTCCTCCATAAATTGTCACCTGCACATGTTAAGATCATCCTTGATTTCTTGGTCCATGTAACAAATATTCAGTGATCCTCTTATTATCAATGTAAATTATGGCATGAAAACAGAGACTTATTCTGAAGGCTGTCCTATACAGAGTTCCAATGGAAAAAGAATTCTTTAAAGATCACGACATCCTTTATATGCTTCTGTTTGCAGATACTGTGTTTACTGTACCAAACTCTTTAAAAATTTTTTTTAACATTTAAGAAAACACTTTTGAGTTCCAAATTCTCTCCCTTTCTCCATCTCCTACCCCCATTGAGAAGGCAAGCAATTCCATATAGGTTATATACGTGTAGTCATGAAAAACATATCCATAATAGTCATGTGGTGAAATAAAACATAGACAAAAAAACTCAAGAAAAATAAAGTGAAAAACAACAACAACAACAACAACAACAACAACAACAACAGTTGCTTCAATCTATATTCAGACACCATCAGTTCTTTCTCTGGGGATGGATAGCATTTTTCATCATAAGTCCTTCAGAGTTGTCATGGATCATTGTATTGCTGAGAACAGTTAACGCCATTTAAAACTGATCATCTTACACTATTGCTGTTACTTTATATCCAGTACGTTTCATTTTACATCAACCCATGTAAGTCTTTCTAGGTTTTTCCAAGGCCATCCTGTTCATCATTTCTTATAGTAAAATACTATTCCATAATAATCACATACCATAAGTTGTTCAGCCATTCCCCAATTGATGGGCATCCCCTCAATTTCTAATTCTTTACCCCCAGAAAAGATCTGCTATAAATATTTTTGTACACATAGGTCCTTTTCCTTTTTGCTTTTTCTTTCTTTTGGGATACAGACCTAGCAGTGATATTGCTCCGTCAAAGGGTATTCATGGTTTTATAGCCCTTTGGCCATAATTCCAAATTGCTCTATAGAATGGTTTAATCAATTCACAACTCTGATAAGAATACATTAAAGTCTCATTTTTCCCACATCCCCTCCAACATTTGTCATTTACCTTTACTGTCCTATTATCTAATCTAACAGGCATAAATAAAGTAGTAACTCAGAATTGTTTTAACTTGCATTTCTCCAATCAATAGTGAGTTAGAGTATTTTTTCATATGGCTATAGACAGCTTTAATTACTTCATCTGAACACTATTTATCTTTTGGTCATTTTTCAATTGAGGAATGGCTCTTTTTTTATGACACAATTCGCTATATGTTAGAAAAATGAGGTCTTTATCAGAGAAACTTGCTTCAAAATTTTTTTCCCACAGTTACTATTGCTACCTGTATTTCCCTTCATCCTATTCCCACCACTGGTTTATTCTATTCTCTCTCCTTTCACCCTGTCCCTTCTCAAAAGTGTTTTGTTTCTGATTACCCCTTCCCCCAATCTGCCTTCCGTTCTATCATCCCTCACCCCTTCTCTTATCCCCTTTCCCTTCTATTTTCCTGTAGGGCAAGACAGATTTCTATGCCCTACTGCCTGTGTATCTTATTTCCCAGTTACATGTAAAAACAATTAACATTCGTTTTTAAAACTTTGAGTTCCAAATTGTCTCCCTTCCTGGGTCCCCCCCTCCCCCCCCACCACCTTTGAGAAGGTAAGCAATTCAATATAGGTTATACATGTGTAGTCATGCAAAACACTTCCATAATAGTCATGTTGTGAAGAACTAACTATATTACTCTACATTCTATCCCACCCCCCCATTTATTCTATTCTGTCCTTTCACCCTGTCCCTCCTCAAAAGTGTTTGCTTCTGGTTATCCCCACCCCCAATCTGCCTTCCCTTCTATCACTTCCACCTCTCTTATCCCCTTCCCCTCTACTTTCCTGTAGGGTAAGATAGATTTCCATGCCCAATTGAGTGTGTATGTTAGTCCCTCCTTAAGCCAATTACAATGAGAGTAAGGTTCACTCATTCCCTCTCACCTCCGCCTTCTTCCTCTCTACTGTAATAGCTTTTTCTTGCCTCTTTCATGTGAGATAATTTACCTCATTTTATTTCTCCCTTTCTCCTTCTCCCAGTACATTCCTCTTTCACCCCTTAATTTTATTTTTTAGATATCATCCCTTCATATTCAACTCTTCCTATGCCCTCTATCTACGTATATTCCCTCCAACTATCCTAATAATGAGAAAGGTCTCATGAGTTACAAATGTCATCTTTCCATGTAGGAAGGTAAACAGTTCAACTTTAATAAGTCCCTTATGATTTCTCTTTCTTGTTTACCTTTTCATGCTTCTCTTGAGTCTTGTATTTGAAAGTCAATTTTTCTATTTAGCTCTCATTTTTTTTCTCAAGAATGCATTAAATTCCTCTACATCACTGAATGTCTATTTTTTCACCCTTCATTGATTACACTCAGTTTTGCTGGGTAGGTAATTCTTGGTTTTAATCCTAGCTCCTTTGCCCTCTGGAATATCATATTCCAAACAATGTCCCTCGCCCCCCCCCATCCTTTCGTGTAGAAGCTGCTAAATTTTGTGTTATCCTCATTGTGGTTCCACAATACTTGAATTGTTTCTTTCTGGCTGCTTGCAATATTTTCTCCTTGACCTGGGAACACTAGAATTTGGCTATAATATTCCTAGGAGTTTTCCTTTTGGGATCTCTTTCAGGAGGTGATCAGCAGATTCTTTCAATTTCTATTTTGCCCTTTGGTTCTGGAATATCAGAGCAGTTTTCCTTGATAATTTCTTGCTTTGTTTTGTTTTTTGCTAGGCAATGAGGTTAAGTGACTTGCCCAGAGTCACACAACTAGTAAGTGTCAAGTATCTCAGGCTGGATTTGAACTCAGTTCCTCTTGACTCCAGAGCCAATGCTCTATCCACTGTGCCACCTGATAATTTCTTAAAAGATGATGTCTAGCCTCTTTTTTTGATCATGGCTTTCAGGTAGTCCAATAATTTTTAAATTAAATCTCTACTGGATCTATTTTCCAGGTCAGTTGTTTTTCCAATGAGATATTTCACATTGTCTTCTATTTTTCATTCTTTGGGTTTTGTTTTATAATTTCTGGATTTCTGGTTCTTCTGCTTCCAGGAGCCAAGATGTCGGAGTGAAAAGGTAGTCGTTCTCACTCTCCCCTATTAACTTCTGAAAACCCAGAAAATATCACCCCAGAAAAAAACCCCTGGAACACTTGAACTAGAAGAAAGAGGGAGGAGCAGTGCAGCAGCCCAGCGAATGGGTCTCCCAGTGCCTCAGCAAAAATAAGGGAGGTAGAACTACAAGGGGCCCCAGGCAGATAAGTACCCTGCAGCATTCATCTGAAAGGAGGTGAAGAAAACAACCTAAAGGCTTCCTAAAGCCTTGGCCTTGCTGATTCCAACCCAACACCAGGTGAGCTGTCGGAGCCCTGCAGCCTCCAATTGTGAAGAAATCCTGAAGCCCAGGTGGTAGAACTGGCAAACACCAACACCTGGACCTCTGAGTGCCTCAGTGAGGGCTGGGGAACCGGTGGAAACCAGCTCAGAAAACCATCAGGTGCCTCGGCACTCTACCAAAAAGGAATCTCCCAGTGCATTAGCAGAAGTGAGGGAGACAACACTGCAGGGGGCCCCAGGCAGATAAACACCCTGCAGCACCCATCTAAAAGGAGCTGAAGAAAGCTAAAGGAAAGGAAAAGCAGTCAACCTAGAATTGCCTGAAAGTTCCAGCCTTGCTGATTCCAGCCCAACACGAGGTAAGCTGCCAGAAACCTACAGTCTCCAATTGCCAGCATGAGAGGCCCCAGCACACAAAGCCAGTGACCAAGACCTAGGCTCCCAACACGAGAAGCTTGGGTCAGTACCCTCTGTTCCCCAACAGGAGAGCTCTTTAAAGGCCAGGGAATAAAGAAACACCATGAGTAAAAAGAAATGTACCATAGATTCATATTATGAGAAGAGTGAAGATCAAGACAGAAATTCTGAAGAGGACAACATTGTCAACAAACCCACATCTGCAACAACAAAAGGGAATATGAACTGATCTGAAGCCCAAAAAGCCTTCTTAGAACAGCTCAAGAAGGATTTTAATAGTCAAATGAGAGAGGTAGAAGAGTCCTTCAAAAATACAATTGGCCAATTGGAAAAAAAATACACTGAAGAAAACAAGTCCCTACAAAACACAATTGGCCAATTGAAGAAGGAAGGACAAAAACTAACAGGAGAAAACAATCTGTTAAAAACTAGAATTGGACAAATGGAAACTAATGTCTCTATGAGAGAGCAAGAATCAGTCAAACAGAAACAAAAAAATGAAATAATAGATGAAAAGGTATAATTTCTGGATTTCTCATAGAGTCATTATCTTCCATTTGCTCCATTCTAAGTTTTAAGGATTTATTTTCTTCAGTGAGCTTTTATACCTCCTTTTCCATTTGGCCAATTCTGCTTTTTAAGGCCTTCTTCTCATTGGTTTTTTGGACCTCATTTGTCATTTGGGTTAGGCTATTTTTTAAGGTGTTATTTTCTTCAGTATTTTTTTGTCTCCTTTACCAAGCTGTTGACTGGTTTTTCATGATTTTCTTGCATCACTCTCATTTCTCTTCCCAATTTTTCCTCTACTTCTCTTACTTGATTTTCAAAGTAAGATTTTTGAGCTCTTCTATGGTCTGAGATCAATTCATATTTTTCTTGGAGGCTTTGGATGTAGGAACTTTGTCTATGTTGTCTTCTTCAGGTTGTATGTTTTGATCTTCACTGTCACCCAAGTAAGATTCCGTAGTCTGACTATTTTTCCATTATTTGCTCATTTTCCTAGCCTATTAATTGACTTTTAACTGTGTATTAACGTAGGGTTGTGCTTCCAGGGTAGAGGGTTAACTGTCCCAAGCTTCAGAGATTTTGTGCAGGTGTTTTCAGAGATACTTCCAGGACCTGTAAGTTTTCAGTTCTTCCAAGGTGGTATGATCAAAGGAGAGGTGTTTACCCCTTTCCTGGCCTTTGCTGTGGTCTGTGAATGGCCACAAGCACTCTTTTCTGTACTGGAACTCTGAGGAGAGTCCCCCCTCCACTGTGGCCACAAGCTCTGCTATGCCAGCGCTCCTCCTCACCCCAGGGCTGCCACCTAGGGCTGCGACTCAGATCCAAGTATGAGCAAAGCAACAGAATCCTGCCTCTGTGCTAGCAAAGAGACCCCTGTCATCTTCTGATCAATTGTTTGATACACTTACTGTCTGTAGGCTGAGAGCTCCAGAAGCAGCTGCTGCTTCTGCCACTGCTGGCCACTGCTCTGGGGCTGTGCTGGGGCCAACGTCAGACTGTGCTCCTCTCTCAGCCAGGTCTGACGGACCTTTCCTACTAACCTCCTAAGCTGTCTTTGGTGTTTGTGGGTTGAGAAGCCTGGAAACCGCCATAGCTGCCAGTGATTCAGTCTCCTGAGGCCTGCTCCAGGTTTGCTGGGGCCCAGTCTGTGCTGACGCTGCCCCTGCTAGACTGCACTCCTCTCTCAGCCTGGTGAAACAAACCTTTCCTGTCAATCTTCCAGGTTGTCCTGGGCTGGAAATTAGTTTCATTCTGTCTTTTTGTGGGTTTTGCTGCTCTAGAATTTGTTTAGAGTCATTTTTTTTACTGGTATCTAGAGGGGTCTGGGGGAGAGCTCAAGTGAATTCCTTTCTTTACTCCACCATCTTGCTACTGTACCAAACTCTTGAATACTATAGGTCTTTCTCAAGTCAAAATAAATGAGCAAAACAAACTAATCTTTAAGAAAAAAACCGAAGAGTATATATTGTTCAGATCATGCCAAGCAGTTAGATGGACTTCCACTAAGTAAGCCTACAATGCATTCATCCTGAATGAATGTTGCAGATGGACAGTAAGCTAGACTCAGAATTAAATAGGGGAAATAAGCAGGCTAGATCATATTGAAGGAATTGCACAGTACCTTCAATGATTCTAAATTGCTCTCTGACATAGAAACCTATTTTTCACACTAATATTCTCCCTGTGATGATATGGCATGGTTAAGGTTGTGAATTGTGTAATACCACAAACTCCAAAAAATATCCAAATTGTTGGTGAACCAATGGGCAGTGGAGAGATACATGGGAGATGTAAGTAAGCTGCCACAAATCATTAACAATGACTTATGAACAAGAAGTGGCAGAAAAGAGTTTCAGGAAATGTAGAGTTAGTAAGAAGTTAAGTTGTTAATAAAATGACATCAGAGGAAAGTGGATGGACAGCTCAACTACTGCACTGGTATCCAGAAAACATTCTACATATGGAAGAATATAGATAAAAGAATTGCACAGAAGTTGAAAGCATGGATGTGTTGCAATCTGTACCAGTGAAGGGAATAGACACATTGAGTATATCACAGGAATACTCAAATATCAAGTTATTCCTCAAAGGACATAAAGAGATTTACCAATGGCTGTTACCCTCTAACATGACTTTTAAGGATCACATGATTATGCATGTAAGATTTTAAAAAAAAAAGCAACTCACCCCAGGGGGAGAAAAATAGTAATCCAATAAACAAGGTGCACTGATTCAGAAGCATTGCCATTAAGATTAACTTATCTTGTTTTCACATCTGAAATGACATTAAATGAAAACATTATCTGATTTTAAAGAGCCTATTAAAATACAAATATTAAATGGACAGAGCCAAGACAATAAGAGAAAAGACAGAATTCAATAAACATTTATTATTAGTTCCAAGTATGACTACATTGTTGTGGGTGCTGTGGGCAACACACACACACACACACACACACACACACACACACACACACACACACACACAAAACATGGCTGAAGAGCCATTTCCTGATAGATAAGTGATCAAAAGACAGTTTTCAGAAGATGAAATGCAAACGATCAGCAACATAAGAAAAAAGTTATAAAACACTAAAAATAAAGGAAATGCAAACAAAAACAACTTGTTTCACTTCTCATCTATCAAGAGGCAAAGATAATATGAGATGGAAGCAGTTCCTGTTGGAGGAGCTGTGAGAAGACAAGCATATCAATTCACTCTTGGGAGTGTCAAACTGGTTGAACTATTCTGGAAATCACTCTAGAATTATGGGAGAAAAATTACTAATATAAATTCTTTAAGGACAGGACTTGTCTCATTACTATAGATCTGTCTCCTTTTGTTGTTGTCCAGTCATTTTCAGTTGTGTCTGATCTTTCATTACCCCATTTGGGTTTTTTTTGGCAGAGATACTGGTGTGGTCTACCATTTCCTTCTCCACCTGAGGCAAACAGGGTTAAGTGACTTGCTCAGGGTCACACAGACATAGTAAGAGCTGGAGGCCCTAGATTTGAACTTACCTGAGTGAGTTCCTGACTTAGGCCAGGCACTCTATCCACTGCACCATTTAGCTGCCCATTTCTTTAGCTAGCATATAGTAAAGTGCTGAGCATGTAGCAGGTGTTAATAAATATTCACTGATCGATTAGTTACTAAAATGTTCATACCCTTTTATCCAGCTTTTTTTTTAATCTTTTTACATGGCATATGACATAAGGAGAGTAAGGACAGAAAAATCTCATGTATTTCAAAATATTATTAGCAACAATATTTATAATAGCAAAAAGAATGCCCATTGACAGGGAAAGAGTGAACAAATTCTTGTATTTGAACGTAACATTGTTTCTTAGGCCTTCATTGTTGCCCCTGCTATCTATACTCTCTTCTCTTCACCCTCTTTACTCCTTGGTGAATTAGTTTAACTTTACACTATCCTATACACTGAAATCCTTTGTCTTCTGGTCCTATAACTAATCACCTTTTGAAGCCCAAATAGTAAATTACTCCTAGTCACCAGCTACTGAATGGACCTACAGAAACAGAATTATCCTGATTACAAATTTGGCACATATTTTCAACTGACCTCTCCTTGAAAGAAGACAAACTTTTTACAACTCTCTAATCAATTTGTTATCCTGCTCATCACAGCGACTATTTCAAACTTTTCCATCCAACCTCAATCTTCCCACTCTCTCCTCTCTCCCAACCCTGCAGAGGACCTCACCTCATATTTCACCAAAAAAAAAAATTGAGGCCATTTGCCAAGAAATCCCCTATTCCTCTCCTCCTGAACTCAGAACATTTGGCATTTAGCCTCTGGGTGGTAGGTAAGGCTACTTCTGAGGAATGGTAGAAGACTGGAGAGAGTGCCTAGAATGTGGCAGAATGTTTGTTAGGAAGCTCCCCTCCTTCCTAGACAGATATAGGCAAGGCAATTTCAATGGAGCTATAACAAGATATTCAGTTTAAGCAAAACAGTACTTCCCACCCATGGGTCTCTTACTGCTACAAAACAAGAAGTGTTTTCTCAACTTTCATTCAGGGATGGTAGTATAATGAGTTCCATTTTGGACGTATTGAATTCAAGATTACAATTTCCCCCCCTAATTACATTGTCATAGTCATGTATATAATTTTCCTGGTTTTGCTTATTTCATTCTGTAACACTTCATATTTCTCTGAATTCATTAAAATATAATGAATCTTTTCTTACAAGGCAAGAATATTCTTCTATTCATATGCTACAATTTGTCTAGCCATTCTCCAATATATGGGCATCTACTTTAATTCTAAGACTTTGCTACCATATATATAAGTCCTTTCTATCGTTGACCTTCTGGGAGTATATGCCTAGCAGGGGAGTATCTGGGTCATAGCTGTACCTTTGAAAAAAATAATTATTTATTTATTGTTAGTTTTCAACATTCACTTCCATCAGATTTTGAGTTCTAAATTTTCTCCCCCTCTTTCCCCTTCCCCAAGACAACATGTAATCTGATGTAGGCTCTACATATACATTCATATTAAACCTATTTTCATTCTAGTCATGTTGTAAAGAAGAATTAGAACCAAGGGGAGAAATCATGACAAAGAAGAAATTTTTAAAAAAGAGAGAGAGCAAATAGTTTGCTTTGATCTACATTCAGACTCATAGTTCTTTTTCTGGATGTGGACAGCATTTTCCATCACAAATCTTTTAGAGTTGTCTTAGATAATTGCATTGCTGAGAAGAGCTAAGTTTATCAAAGTCGGTCATTGTACAATGTGGCTGTTATTGCATATAATGTTCTGGTTCTGCTCACTTCACTTAACATCAGTTCATGTTAAGTCTTTCCAGGTTTTTCTAAAGTCCTCCTACTCATCATTTCTTATGGAACAATAGTATTCCATTATATTCATATACCACAACTTGTTCAGCCATTCCCCAACTGATGGGCATCCCCCCAATTTGCAATTCTTGACCACCAGAGAAAGAGAGACAGAGACAGAGACAAAAAGAGAGAGAAAGAGAGAGAGAGAGAGAGAGAGAGAGAGAGAGAGAGAGAGAGAGACAGAGACAGAGAGAGACAGAGAGAGAGACTTGATTAGCACTTTAGGAAAACAACTTAATTGGCTGAATAGAGGATGGACTGGAATGGGGAGAGACTTGAGGCAGGTAGGCCCACCAATGGGCTTTTGCAATAAATTCAGGCATGAGGTGATGAGAGAAGAGAACATGTATGAGAGATAGTACAAAGATGAAATTAACAGGACTTTGCAACAGAAGGGATATGGGAGAAGTGAGAGAGAATGAACAAGCCAGGATGACTCTTAGGTTGCAAGCCTGAGGGACCAGGAGGATGGAGTTGCCTTCCAAAGTAAAAGAGAAAGGAGGGAGAGGGGTATAATAAGTTCCATTTTGGACATATTGAATTCAAGATGTATGAAAGGCAGTTGGGGATGTGAGAGTGGAGGTCAGTAGAGAAAATGGGGCAGGATAGTTAGATTGGAGAGCCATCAGCATAGTGATAGTAATTAAATGGGGGGGGGAGAGAGGTAATGAGATCAAGAAGTGTAGTATAGAAGAAGAGTGAGGATGTGATCTAAAGGAGGATCCATGGTCTACCAGTGAGTTCTTATGTTTATTGCCATTTTACAGATGAGGAAATTATGGCTGAGAGAGGTTAAGTAACATGCCCAGTGTCACAGAGCTAGTAAGTTTTTTGGTTTTGTTTTTTTTTTTGGTTAGGCAGTTGGGGTTAAGTGACTTGCCCAAGGTCACACAGCTAGTAAGTGTCAAGTGTCTGAGGCCACATTTGAATTGAGGTCCTCCTGACTCCAAGGCCAGAGCTCTATCTACTGTGCCACCTAGCTGCCCCGCTAGTAAGTTTTTGTGGTAGAATTCAAACTCAGGTCTTCCTGACTCTAAATCCTGTGTTCCATCCACTATGGCCAGTTGCATCTCTGGAAACACCTTGACAGCAGAAACTATCTCATTTCGATATGTTCCCCCCTCAGATCCTACTGAGCACAGTGCCCAGCACATTGTAGTCACTTAAATGGTTGGTGGTTAATTGTAAAAACAAAACTAACTTTGGTCAATAACCAAAAGTTGTTAGTTATTAATTTTAGGTGACACATGACAGTTCTTTAAGTACCTGAATACAGCTCTCAGGTTCACCCTAAATCTTCTTTCTTCAAGTTTAATACCCCAAAATTCCTTCCTTATTTTGCGTGATCTCAATTTCTTTCACCATTCTTACTGCCCTTCTGGGGATGCTCTCCAGTTTGTTAATTTCACTTCTAAACTGTAGTGTCCACAAATTAAATGACAAGCATAATTTTGGACATTATGCTTCTTTCAATGCAGCCTACTCTGATTTTTAGAATAAGTTGTATGACACCTGTCAATCCAAAGATCTAAACAATTGGAAAAGTATCAATTACTCATGGGTAGGCCGAGTTAATATGATAAAAATGACAATTTTATTTTTTTGTGAGGCAGTTGGGGCTAAGTGACTTGCCTAGGGACACACAGCTAGTAAGTGTTAAGTTTCTGAGGCTGAATTTGAACTCAGGTCCTCCTTACTCCATGGCTGGTGCTCTATTCACTGTGCCACCAAGCTGCCTCTAAAAATGACTATTTACCTAAATTAATTTACTTATTCAGTGCCATACCAATCAAACTACAAAAAATTATTTTATAGAACTAGGAAAAAATAACAACAAAATTCACCTGGAAGAACAAAAGTTCCAGAATATCAAGGGAATTAATGAAAAAAAAATTGCAAAGGAAGGTGGCCTGGTTGTACCAGATCTAAAACTATATTATAAAGCAGCAATAATGAAAACTATTTGATACTGTCTAAAAAGTAGAGTGGTAGATCAGCGGAATAGATTAGGTACACAAGACACAGTAGTCAATGACTATAGTAATTTACTGTTGATAAACCCAAAGACTCCAGCTTCTGGGAAAAGAACTCACTATTTGACAAAAACTTCTGGGAAAACTGGAAAACAGTATGGCAGTAACTAGGCATACATCAACATCTCACACCGTACACCAAGATAAAGTCAAAATGGGTATACCTTATAAGGGTGATACCTTATAAAAAGCAAATTGGGAAAGCAAGGAATAGTTTACCTGTTAGATCTATGGAGAAGGGAAGAATTTATGACCACACAAGAGAGAGAACATTGTGAAATGCAAAATGGATAATTTTGATTATGTTAAATTAAAAAGATTTTGCACAAACAAAACCAATGCCACCAAGATTAGAAGGAAAGCAGAAAGG